TACAGCAAGGTGTACTTGCGTTTTACCATGACTGCCTTACAAACTTAGAGTTGTTAGCCTGCAATTTTGTTGAAGGAAAGTGAGGTGTTCATTGTGTTTGTAATCATTGTAATTGTGTTCATTGCATTTTTGTCTCAGACTCGAAATCCTCGCGCTGTCTTCAGTGGCTTGGTGGACTTTGACAAGGCCACTGACTTTCAGAACTTGTTTGAAAGGAAAGTAATGAAATACTGAGGCTTTTTGTTCTCCTTTCCCTGCCTGACTCTTTGACAACCAGGACACCATTTTGTACCTATATGCTGCCAGCCCTTCTGTGAGGCTTTGTAACTGATGGCAACACATAAAACATTGTACAAGCAGCTGCCTTCCAGTCCCAAAGTCTGTTCTAGACATTGGAGATTAAAGCCTTGACTTCAGGAGCTGATACGCTTTGCCTGTGATGATGCAGCTTTCGTTGACTGAGCCTAGGCTAATTTCCATGCATTTTGATGTTACCTGATAGGGGAGGGAGAGAACACCTCAAAGCTGGCATGCCGCTGTCACAGGTAGTGGAAGGGCTTTCATTAGTCCAGAGCAAGGCCTCTAAGGAGCTGCATAAGCTGTTCAGTCCACAGAGTACAGCGAATGGTACCATCCAATGTGCCCCATGTTTGCCAAAAACTGTATCCGCCAACATGCTGCCGCCCAAGGACATGTCCCTGGTCCAGCAGGAGTCTTGATATATCCAAAGGAGAGGTTGCACTGTTCATTTCATGTCATTGAGTGTTTTGTGTGCCTTGAATGTGCTAGAGGCTTCGGTTAGATTACTTTAATTAGATCTTCAAAACCACTCTATGGAGTAAGTTTGGTTTGCTCTTCCAAGTGTAGATAGGTGGTGGAAAAGAAAGCATATGTGAGTAAAATGAATTATGTCTATTATAAGCTTAGATTCTTGTTGTCAATATGTGATGATGGCTTACTTATTTGCTTAAGTGAGGGATTGGAAGCTAGGGAGGGTTAAATATCTTATCAGGCTCATCTAAATTGTAAATGACAAACCCAGGACACCATCCCAAGGCCTCTTATTCTGGTCCCAGAACTCATGTATATTGATCAGGGTCAAAATGGACAAAGACCAAAGAAGTTCTTTGAGGGAAGATCTTTTAGTCATTCCCACTCTTGTATACTCACTACTGAATAGTCATGAACATTACCATGCTTGGGTTTTTAATTAGATTTTCAAAGCATTAAGTAAGAACTACCTGCAGTTTTCTAAGAAACTGTGCGAAAAATAAAACCAGCTCGTTGGCTTTAAAATGTTACCATAACGTGAATGTTAATGCTGACCTGGAGCTTGCTGGGCAGCTGGGAGGCCCCACTAGTGCCCTCTGTGTTTCCAACATTGTGCGGTTTATTTATTTGGGCATTTTAATAGCATTTTTTTCAAGGCCGATTGGGTCCATTCTTTCTTGATAAATGTAGTTAGCTAGATATGATCTGTTACTGGTCCAAGGTCACGGTAAAGCTTCCAGCAACAGAAACACAAAGCCAGAACTCTGCCTGGGGAGTCTAGCTACTTCCTCTCCAAGCCATTTTGCATTCACGTCAAGCCAGGCCCTTGTCACAGAGAGAACAATATGTATGTGACACGCTGACCTCTGCAGCGTATGTGAGAAGAGGGCAGTGCGCTGGATGTCACTTAAGCTGTGTGGCCTTCAGCGAGTTATTTCTCCTCAGAATCCTAGGCGTTTGTCTTTGAACTCCTCCCTCCCCCACTAGAGAGCGAGAGGCTCCAGAGAGATGACTTTGTGGACATGAATAAACGGTGCTAATACCTATAATCTGGGCCATTTAGCATTTTGTATATGGTGCTGTTCTTAGAAAAAGTTAGCCCTGCCTGCAGCTAAGGATGCTTCCTGGAATCTATTTTTTTTAGATTAATTAACTTATTTACTTTACATCCCGATCATAGCTTTCTCTCCCTGCTCTCTTCCCAGTCTCTCCCGCTCTCCTCCTCCCTAATGCATCCTCCCTTTCTTCTCAGAACTGGAGGCCTCCCAAGGACATCAACCCACCTTGGCATATCAAGTCGCAGTAGGACTAGGTGTCTCTTCTTCTATTGAGGCTAGACAGGGCAACCCAGGTATGGGAAAGGGATCCTGCAGACAGGAATCTAGTATAACCATCCTCTGGGAGGTGTCACCCTGCAGCTGATGGAAACAGACCCACAGCCAAACAATAGGCAGAGTTTGGTAATCCTGGGGAAGAGGAGGAGGAAGGATTGTAGGAGCTAGAGGGGTCAAGGACACCACAAGAAAACCCACAGAATCAACTAACCCAGGGCTCACAGGGGCTCACAGAGACTGAGCCACCAACCAGAGAGCATGCATGGGACAGATCTAGGGCCCCTACACATATGTTAAAGATGTACAGCTTGGTCTTCATGTGGGTCCCCTAGCAACCGGAGCAGGGGCTGCCTCTGCCTCTATTTCCTGCTTCTTGGAATCTTGAGTAAGCTGGACAAAGTAAAAACCATGCTATCTTCACAGGAATGTTTCTATTCTTTATCAGCCAAGGGCATGGTCACCCTAAAGGTTGTGTCAGAGTCACAGAGGACTCTGTCACTGTCATCCCACACTGTGTTCCTCATTAAGAATCACTGCTGTAAAAAGGCTCTATTTATTAATTGTGTGTGTCCCAGAAGCCCCAAACCAAATCATACAAAGATATTTGTACACCTAACCGAAGATAAGTAATCTAACTATAACTGTAAGACATTAAAACTGTACAACTTTGTCCAACAGTGTGTGTGTGTGTGTGTGTGTGTGTGTGTGTGTGTGTTTAAAGAAACCTCTCCATATATACTGATACCATTTATCCATTGAGTATTTATTGAGGTCTCTGGAGATGTGGTGTTTGTGTCTTACGTATGACGTTAATGGTCTAGTATCGTGTATGTCATGGTGGAGTTAATTTCGTTTCACGGCTCGGTTTCAGCAGATGCTGTGTCTGAACCAATTCATTTCTTAAAATGGTGTGGCGTGGCAAAGTATATTCCCTAGGACTGGGAGAGATGGGCATACCTCTGTTCTTTTACTCCACAAAGTAGGAAGGGATGGCAGGGAGCTCATTCCCTAGACTTGGAGGCCCCAGTGTCTATAAAGAATAATATTAAGGTCTTTGTCAGTAGAAGCAAAACCAAAGCATCGGACAGCAGTTCTTAACCTGTGGGTCAAGGCCCCTTTGGCAAACATCTGTCTCCCAACATTTACATTATGATTTCTAACAGTGGTAACCTAACAGTACGAAGTAGCAACAAAAATAATTTTATGGTTGGGGTATCACAACATGTGAACCTGTACCAAAGGGTCACAACATCAGGAAGGTTGAGAACCACAGCATAGAGGATTATGGGAAGATGGCTTTGCCATAGAGTTTCTTGGGAGTAAATAGAAGCCAGTGCCCCTGGGAAGAGCAGACTCAGTAAAGCCTTTCCCCCTCCGTTCCTCCCTTTATTTCTGCTGGTGACCTCTGCAGGCTGTTGCCTCTGGTGCTCTGCCCTGCCCCCTTCCCCCTTCAGATGTGGCTAGTAGCAAAAGTGAATCTGTTCAGAGCCCTACTTGTTGCAACCAACCCCGGAGCCACCGGAGCACTGAACTGCCTGCCCCCCCCGGGTTCTCTCCCAGCCCTTGGCAATCCATCTGCCGTGACAGCGAATATCAGCTCGGTTTGGCTTAAACTTAGGCTGGACAAGTGTGCTTAGAAGGAGGTCGGGGAGGGGAGGGGATAGAGCTGGGGAAGGCTCCTGCTTGTCATCAAGGTTTTGTAAAACTGCAGACCACCAGGCTCAAGAAGGCCAGCTGGAAGTGAGGGCGTCACAGGGTTGTTTCCTCCAGTGAAGTTGGTAAAAGTGGCCACTGTTCGAGTCCAGTAGAGGGCAAAAGGGAGATTTCACCCCCCCACACACACACACCACCCCAGGAATGTTCATTACACCAAAGTGTAAGTGGCCACAGCTTCTTCAAGCCAGCAGAGGGAAAAGGGAGTTTTTAGCTGTTTTTCTTTTATATATATATTATTTAATCACTTTACAGCCTGATCCCAGTCCCCTCCCTGTTTTCCTCCCAGTCCTACCCTCATGCCTCCCTTCCCTACTCCTTCCTCACCCAAGTCTGCCTAAAGGAAGCTGTTAGAATCCAAAGCAGAGCTCAGTGGTACTTTGTAGACAAATTAACCCCAGGTTGTTAATATGTAAAATGTATTGGTTATGAGATGGGGCCTAGGTGGTGCACTCAGGGGCAGCTTCTCTAACGTAGGCTGAAAAGCAAAAAGAAATTTGAGTTTTTTTATATCCAAGAGGCAATAACTGTGTGGTGCCCAGATGACAGCCGCACTTGGTTTCCAGCTCATTTCTTGACCCCCAGCATAGCGCTTCACTCCTCGTGTTTACAGCAGTCCAAGGGACCACCCGCTAAATCCACCCAGAGCTGCACAGGCCCTGGCCTTTGCACCTCCGTGCAAGTGCCAAACAGAAAGGTCAGATGATGTGCTAGAGCTAGGAACACATCATCCTCCGAGAGGCTCTGCAGTCACCTTGAGAACTTCTGGTTCACATCGGGAGGAGAAGCTGAGCGAGACTGCCTTGGCAAAACACTAGGCCTGGCTCTCACGTCATAGCTTCAGCACAGAGAACAGGGGCAGTAGGGAGACGTGCAGAGGGGACCAGAAGAGAGGTGGATAAGGTATGGCAGGACAAGGTCAGGAAGACTAGGAGGTACGGATGAATGACTGCGGGCATGGAGAGTCTGTTGCGCAAGGGGATGACTTGGGAAAAGGAGGCTTGAGTTTATGGTGAAAAGGACACTATGTTTCAGACTTTTGGTACATCAGAGCCCTTCCACCCAGGAAAGGGCGGATCCTGGTGCTGGTAAGAGGGAACGGTGCTGTTAGCTGTGCAGCACCTGAGGTCTGCTTTTGGCTGCTTGCTTCCTGTAACAGTGTTTTCCTCTTTTTGTTCCTAGGCATGGTGCAAAAGCTAGATCAGAAACTTCCGGTGGCTAACGAGTATCTGTTGCTCTCCGGAGGAGTCCGAGAAGGTGTGGTGGACCTGGACCTAGATGAGCTAAATGTCTATGCCCGGGGCACCGACTATGACATGGACTTCACTCTTCTGGTGCCCGCCCTGAAGCTGCATGACCGCAATCAGCCTGTGACATTGGATATGCGCCACTCAGCCCTGTGCCACTCCTGGCTGAGCCTCCGGCTCTTTGATGAGGGGACAATCAGTAAGTGGAAGGATTGCTGCACGATAGCAGATCACATCAACGGTGCCACCAACTACTTCTTCTCTCCCACCAAAGTGGCGGACTGGTTCTACGACTCCATCAGCATCGTCCTGTCAGAGATCCAGAAGAAACCCCAGAGAGGGATGCCAAAGGTGGAAAAGGTAGAGAAAAACGGGACCATCATCTCCATCATTCTGGGCGTGGGGAGCAGCCGCATGTTGTACGATATTGTCCCCGTGGTGTCCTTCAAAGGCTGGCCCGCCGTGGCCCAGAGCTGGCTCATGGAGAACCACTTTTGGGATGGGAAGATCACTGAGGAAGAGGTCATCAGTGGCTTTTACTTGGTGCCAGCCTGCTCCTACAAGGGCAAGAAGGACAATGAGTGGCGACTGTCCTTTGCCAGGAGCGAGGTGCAGTTGAAAAAGTGCATCTCGGGCAGCCTCATGCAGGCCTACCAGGCCTGCAAAGCCATCATCATCAAACTCCTGTCGAGGCCCAAGGCCATCAGCCCCTATCACCTGCGGAGCATGATGCTCTGGGCCTGCGACCGGCTCCCCGCCAGCTACTTGGCTCAAGAAGACTACGCGGCCCACTTTTTGCTGGGCCTCATTGACGACCTGCAGCACTGTCTGGTCAACAAGATGTGCCCTAATTATTTCATCCCGCAGTGCAACATGCTGGAGCACCTGTCGGAGGAGACGGTCATGCTCCACGCCCGGAAGCTGTCCTCCGTTCGCTCCGACCCGGCAGAGCACCTGCGCACCGCCATCGAGCACGTGAAGGCAGCCAACCGGCTGACGCTGAAGCTGCAGCGTCGAGGCAGCACCACCAGCATCCCCTCCCCGCAGTCCGATGGAGGGGACCCCAACCAGCCTGATGACCGCCTGGCCAAAAAACTGCAGCAGCTAGTGACTGAGAATCCAGGGAAGTCCATCTCAGTCTTTATTAACCCCGACGACGTCACGAGGCCCCATTTCAGAATCGACGATAAATTTTTCTGAGTGTTTTGTTGACTCCCCCACCCCCACCCCCCTCGGTTCTAAAAACTTCTGTACCGTGTAGCGTGGTTTGTGATTCTGTCGTTCTGTTTTTACATATCCAGCTTACATTGGATTTGGTAAGAACACATTTTAAGTTTCCTGGTTCTGCAGGATGGTGCAGGCTCTGAAACAGTATTATTACTATTTCATATTCTGCCTGACTTTGCTATTTGTTTTCTAGTTATTGTATATGTGTGTGTGTATGTGTGTGTGTTCAATGGTATTCATTTTTAAGGAGAACTTGAGCCATAGATGACACTGCCCATGAATCTGTCTCGCACTCAATGTAGATTTGTTGGTATGTTTAGGGAAACACATTTCATTCTGACATATTTGAACATACACTCCTTGGCTTTCGTTCTTTTTTTTTTTTTTTTTTACCTTGTTCTTCTGAGTGTTCACTGAGAAAGATAGCTGAGAATCCTAAGAACCTAGGGGCCCTGTAAAAGCTGGCTGCGTTTATTTCTTTGCACCAGCAGTCAGAAAAAGTTTCCCCCTTTCCACCAGACAGAAACTTCAAGAGAGGATGATGCACACTATTTCCGAGCAACCTCATTGAATGTAATTGTCCTCGAATCAGCAAACATTGGGTGGCTTGGAGGGAGGGTTTGATAGCTTTCCAAACAGAATTAAGGTTTCCAAATGTTAGTTTTAGTGTTTGTGATTATTTGAAGCCTTATTTAAATCCTATTAAGGAGCACACCATTCTAACTGTTATTTGCACTAATGAAGTCTTTGCCATTGTCATAGCTGCGATGTGTGTTTCCATATACATTAACATCCTTTCTGGAAAATGCCATCGCTTTTCATTTAGTTTTCTCAGTCAATAGAGTCTGCATTTGTCTAGTTCTCCTCTAATTGTCGGTCTCATTTTGCCCTCTTTGACAGTTCTGGTTCCTGCCTTACTGAGGGAGTCCTGAAAGCTTTATACCTGTTCACTGACCGTCGTAAGCTAGGGGAGATAATACTTGATAAAGTGGGTATCTTTGTATTTATTTCCTTGGGGGTTCTAGAGAGTCTTCTTTTCCCCTTTCCTTTTATAAAGTTTCCTTACCTTCTCCCGACATCTTGAGGGAAACTGACTGGTAGAATTATCCCCAAATTGAAGATACCATGCCTGTTCAAAGCAGGTTTCACTGTAGAGCAGGAACCAGGAAATACCTAGGTGGCTGTATTGGAATAAAGGAATCCTATTTTCTGACTGAAACTATTTCCCAGATTTAGGTGCTGTGGGGCGTTAGCCCATGTTTTGGGGTGAACTCAAGGTAAACTGTGGTGCTTGAGTCCTGGACGGGCCTGCTGATCTAGATGACACTGATGATATCCACTAGTGGAAAAGACAAGCAACGTGTTGGTTTTGGGTTTGAAAGTCCAGACTCTTAGGTTGAGTTTTGGCCAAGTGGAATCAGGCATATGTGGTCTTGGAGTTTTGCATGGGAATTAATGTGATGCTTATAAATCATTCAACAATCTCAAGTCAAACACAAAAATAAAAAAACATACTGGCCTTGGAATTTCGTTGTCATTACTACTTTGTAATCTCAAAGCTGCTTTCTCTCTCTCCCCCTCCTCCGGCTTCCTTCCACCCTTTTTCACTATGTAGCCACTTAGCTTTAGCCTGGAGCTCTAGATATTTCAGCCTGGGCTCAGAGTTCTGGGATCTCATGTATGTATCAGCACACCTAGCTTTGACATTGTTTTCTTCTTAGTAATGCAGTAGTGGTTGGTAAGTATAGACCCCACCTTTAGGCTAGAAGTCTACAGAGTGAACAGCCTGTGTTCTTTCTTGGCGATTTCTTATTGGTATTTACTTATCTTCCGAGAAAGTGTGACCTCATTAAACAACGGCTTCGCAGATCCAGATGTCTGCCTCCTGATTGGAAAAGCGAGTGATACAAACCCACATCTCCTTGGTCACAGACACTAATGAGGGCCAGCCAAATTCCAGTTCTTCCACCTGGGGAATTACCCTGTGGAGAGCTGAGACAGAAGCACATGGCACCTTCCTGGATATGGAGAGTAAGCATTTGGGTTATATGGGTACTGACAGCTATCACCGAATCATGGCGGCTGACACCTGATGCTACTGTAGGAGATGGAAATGAAAGCATGAGCCATCAGAACCCAGAGCCTGAAGCCTCTTTTCTTACTGGACTTCCTCATCAATGGCATTTTAGCTGGTTTTGAATAAGGTTCAGTCCATCACAATTTTTAATCAAGTATGCCAAGCTGAGCTGTTTTGGTTGGTGTGTCTCTTTTCTTCCTGAGATAGCTATGAAGGATTCATGCCTTTTAGCCTTGTATTTAGAGCTGATATGTGCCAATTTCATTCAATCCTCTCAGAGTCTATGTAGCTACTGTGATTATTTTGTTGTATAGATTAAAACAGGTATACCATGGATGTGGGCAGATATATTCTAGAAACTATTTCTCTTAAGTCAGCTATACTACCAGAACATACCAAGAATCAACATCTCAAGTACAATTAACCACTGACTGTACTTTAAATGCTTTGTTTTCAGATAAAATTGCATTGCAGATATAATAAGGTTTTAGCACATTAACCCTGACGTTTTCCCCTTTTGCCATATCTAGCCACAGTGGAGAACACAGTATGTAAATTTCACATGGAAATGTGCAAAGACCTGGGTGTCGGTAACTTTAACAGCCATTGTTTAATCCCCAGAATTCCTGTCCAGGCCGTAAATTCATCTAAGACGCTCTGAGGTCAAGGGTAAATGCATGGAAAGTAGCTTAATTCCTTTCCCTTAAACATAATCCATTGAGTTCTTACCAGTCTGTCTTTCTGCAGCCCAGAAAATTGCATTTGTATTTCAAATACAAGATAAAAGTGCCTTAACGCTGGAGCCATAATGTTAAAATTACATGTATCTGATTTTTTTTTTTTTTTGAGGCATTCACAACTTATTACTCAACAGGCTTTTGGCTCTTTTATGGGGCTGGCTCTCACTTGTCTCAGAAGATTTTCCTCTGCCCTCTCTTCCGAAATGGAAGATGTACAGATGCAAGTAAAAGACATTTTCAGAGTTAGTAGGGCCACTCAAGTTGAAGCACTCTAAAAATAAGACTTCCTGAAGTTACTTTGCGAATTATTTAACAGAGAATGGTGGAATCATACAGCTAATTTTGCTCTTGGGTGGTAATATGAGGACCAGGGAGCGGACATCTGAGCCTAGTGTGAGAGCCCCTACCACACCCTCCCACGTCACCATGTGCACACCCACATATTCTTTCATGTCACCAATTGGAGATTTCCTCCGATCGACTTTTCATTAACACATTCCGGTACAATTTGGGATGCTAGTCACAACTCCATGTTGGTTGTTTGACTCAAAACCTTTTGGTCATTTGGGGACTCAAGATCTGGGTTTCACAGTATAAATAGTGGGGACTGAGCAGAGCTGAAGCCAGACACAGAAGCAAGATTTGTCAGTCCCATGAAGCACACACCAAGAGTTCAGTTGGGGCCTTTATGTTGATGCTTTTGAGTAGCCTCTGGGGTCTAGATGAGCAAATCAGAACGCTTTCCTTGGTCTGGCTTGTTCAGTAAGTTCTGAAGCCTGGTTTTCCTGACAGGGTTTTATTGTGCCCATGTGCTCCTACTGTGTAACTTCTGTGATAAGTTTATAGTTGCACCCTTCTCACTTTTAAGAATAAATTACTTATTAGCCTGTAGCTCGTGGATGGTGTTCCTGGATCCACGGGGTTCAGAGTCATCCTGCCTCTGCGTATGCACTTAAAGTCAAACGTTGCTTGTAAAATGGAGTCACTTAGGGCAAGGCACAGCCTGAACAGCTACCGTGGTACACAATATGGTAGTGCAGCCTGGTAATAGCAGTCACCCAGAAGGATGATGTCCGTCTGGCTGGCTGGCATCCTCGCATCCCAGCTGTGTGCTGATTATTAGGGAATTAAAAGAGATCTCACTCCTTTTATAGCAAATTGGAGGCCGGCCTTATCCATATGAGACCCTTTCTCAAAGCAAAAATAAATACGTAACAGCAAGTGACCAATTATTACATGACTCTTAAAATCATAATTCATCTTTAGCATGGAATGGCCACCCACAGGGGAACTCTGGATCACTCCCCTGTCTGCCTAGGATCAAGAAACTGTTATTTGGGCCTTGTAAGGATTCAGTGATCTAGTTTACATTGCTGTCAACCCTGTCACTTAGTTAAAGAAAAGGGGGTTAAATGTGAGAGCATGAAATACACCTTAAGATTTTATTTAGCTTCCATGTCTGTAAAATAGGGAATTTGAGGAGCTATTTTCTTTGCTGCTCTTCAGAAGCTAGCTTAAATTGCCTCAGTCTCCAAAGAAATGCCAATTTTAGATCCATAAGGCCACTCCCTTACAAGCTTGAAGTCTTCATTTCCCCAGCACTGAATTGTTAAGAACCTCATTAAGTTGCAGCAATACGTCCAGTGGGCAGAGTGGGCACCTCTGGGATTCCTGTGACAACAGTTCTTGTTTGATCCTTTCCATGTGAGAACACGTTCAAATCATCACAAAACTTCAAACATAGTAAATCTCAGTGTTATGCCAAAGTAGGTAACTAGTTCAGACTTACAGATAATTAAATATGTAGAAGAGTCGGGGCCTGAGGTTGTTTGTCTGCTTCAGAATCAGGGCTGGGGAGATGGCTTAGTTCTTAGGAGCATACTGTCCTTACGGAGGACCCGAATTCTCCACTTTGGGCAGTTCATGACTACCTGTAATGCCATCTCCAGGGGGCAACCAATGCCTCCAGCCTCCTTAGGTGTCTTCACCCATGAAAACATAGCAACCCCTCTACACACACCCGCACACACGTAATTAAAAATAAAACAAATCTTTCTAAAATGGAATTTAAAACTTCCCGTGTCCTGATGCCTCTGGGGTTGGAATCTAGTCTTCACTGTTTAGGATGCATTGTAATTTGTGGACACCTGCATTCAGATAACAAGTCCTGGGCAAAATGTCAGTGTTTTCATCAGTAGAACAGATGGGTTTCTAGAGAAATTTAACTTGACATTGAAAGATCCATGAGGAAGAGAAATAACTACTTACAGGAAGTTTTTGGTTGACAGAAGGGGAATGGTTGAAGTGACCCTCTGATTAGTTCCTGACGTAAGAGTCAGGAAGTGAAATCAAAAAGTTACTATCAACAAAACATTGTTCCTTTCAAGATGTGAGGGGAGAGGGTTTTGTTTGTTTGTTTGTTTTGTAGAAAAAGGTGTCATTTAGGATCTTAGTTACATTTAAGAGTTGGGTCCAGTTGGAGGCAGCCAACAACTTAATATAAAAATGAAAGATGTGAATATACCATTTTGTATTTTAAAATTATGTATTTATAATTTTAAGGCTTAACAATAGAATATTTTAACAATTTGCAGGCATTTATTAAAAAAATATTGAGAGACTTTACCTGCTCTAAAATCTTTGCCATGACACTGTGTACATCTATATTCTTACATTCATAACTTTAAAATTTGTATGAGAATCCGAATCCAAATTAGAGACGGTGGGATACAGTTTTAGTGACAGTGTAAGTGCCTCGTCCTTGGAGGAGCTGATCTTTCTTATGATGACCATTGCTATCTTGAAAAACAGACATTTGGTTTTGACTTTTGTTGTCCCCTTGATTATCTACACAGTCTCTTCCTGGAAGATTCAAGCAAAAACCTGTTATCTGAGCCAAACATGTCCTTGCTAAAGGGACCAAATGCAAACAAGCTTCCCATTTTGGCATGCAAAATGAAACTGAGCACATCAGATCCTTTGTAGGTGATGGGCAGACATTTCCAGAATATTTATTTATATTTCCTAGATCAGTGTCCTGAGAGCGGGAAGCTGGTGAAAGAAGAGAATACTTCAGTGGCTGGGGAGGTCAGGGAAGATAGACCATAACGCTACAGTTCGGATGAGTTAGACCACCTGCTTCAGAGATTGTTCGTTTGTCACCTAGATGGCTTCAAGAAAATTGTTCCCCTTCTCTGAGACTTACCTGCTCTTTGTAGATTGAATGGTGAGATTTGCAGACCTCTAAAGATCCCTCTCCTGTAGATAATTGTTGGGTGTACAGGGAAAATAATTATCCGGACAGAAGATGGACAAGATTAAACAATAACAGCCTATGTATGACTGGTGGGTGGGATTTTCAGACTCAGGCATGGGCTCCAGGTGAATTGAGAAGGCAGGAGGTATCTCTCAGATAAGATATAGTAATGAGAAGACATTGCTTCAGCCTTTATGGATGGCATGTTTTTTAAAATGAGTTATTTTTATTTTCTGTACATTGGTGTTTTGATTGCGTGTATGTCTGTGTGAAGGTGTTGAATCCCCTGGAACAGGAGTTACCGACAGTTGTGAGCTGTCATCTGGGTGCTGGGAATTGAACTCAGGTCCTCTGGAAGAGCAGCCAGAGCTCTTAACCGCTGAGCCATCTCTCCAGACTCAGCATATGGTTTTGAGAGCCCCCAAAGTCAGGCTCATGTCACCGGTACAGATA